TAGAACCTGAACATAGTTCTCTGCATTAATGGTGCCTTTCCAGACATGCAAGCTGCCCATGCCACAAGCGCTCATGCAACCCCATACCATCAGTGATGCAAGCTTCTGAACGGAGCGTTGATAACAACTTGGACTATCCTTGTCCTCTCTGGTCCGGATGACATGGCGTCCCAGTGATCCATAAAGAACTTCAAATCGTGACTCATCTGACCACAGAACAGTCTTCCATTTTGCCACACTCCATTTTAAATGACCCCTGGCCCAGTGCAAACGTCTGAGCTTGTGGAGCTTGCTTAGAAATGGCTTCCTCTTTGCACTGTAGCGTTTCAGCTGGCAACGGCGGATGTCACGGTGGATTGTGTTCACTGACAATGCTTTCTGGAAGTATTCCTGAGCCCATTCTGTTATTTCCTTGACAGTGGCATTCCTGTTTGAGGTGCAGTGATGTTTAAGGGCCCGGAGATCACAAGCATCCAGTAGAGTTTTACGGCCTTGACCCTTACGCACAGCGATTGTTCCAGATTCTCTGAAACTTTTGATGATGTTATTCACGGTTGATGATGATAACTTAAAAATCTTTGCTATTTTACGCTGGGTAACACCATTCTGATATTGCTGCACTATCTTTCTGTGCAACAATGGTGGAATTGGTGATCCTCTTACCATCTTACCATACCATACCATACCACTTTATTTATAAAGCACTTAAAACAGCTACAAAGCCAACCAAAGTGCTGTACAGACAAAACAAGAGGTAACACACAAAGCAAAATACAAAATGAGGTAAATCAGAATATAGACATAAAAACGATGCAGATAATGACGACAAACCAGTGTGTAGCATACAGGATCTTGGCTTCTGAGAGACACTGACACTCTGAGAAGCTCTTTTTATACCCAATCATGTTGTCAATTGATCTAATTAGTGTTAATTGGTCTTCCAGCTGTTTGTTATATGCTCAATTTCAAATTTCCAGCCACTTATTGCTGCTTGTCCCAACTTTTTTGGGATTTGTTGACACTGTGAAATTTTGAATCAACATAGTTTTCCTTTAAAATGTTACATTTACTCAGACTAAACTTTTGATCTGTCATCTATGTTATATTACGAATAAAATATTGACATTTGTCATCTCCACATCATTGCATTCAGTTTTTATTCACAATTTGTCTAGTGTCCCAACTTTTTTGGAATCCGGTTTGTACTTTATCACTAAGGTTTCAGTTTAAATCAATATTAGTATCATATTATAGTATCATTTACTGTTAGTGTAGGATTTAAATAAATTATTTTATTCCAGAGAAGTTGCTGCATATGAAGTGTTGTGAAATTTGTGGTTTCAGATCCCTTTTATAAAAAGTGTCAAATAAAATGTCGACTTCTTATAATAATATTTGACTCCCACTTTTACTATTCCAGCATTTCATAACCAGTGTCTGACACACATTTGTAGACTAAACCCCACTTCAATGCACCCCCTACTCATTTACTTTGTTTTTCTCTATTAGGAAGCTGGTAAATGTTGTTTGTATAGGTTGATTGTATTGTATACTAACCTGTGTGCATTATGTGTATTTATGCATTTTTATGTTTTTATGTGGCATGAAGCCGAAAGAAACAGAGTTGCTGTGTTTTGCACTTCAGCGTGCACAATAACTCAAGACCAGTAACACCGTATTGAACAGAAAAATGATGAAACTGAGTGCAATGCTGGAGTGAAGTGTGATGTTTGACTTACTAATGTTGCTTTAGGTTTGTTTTCTGACTTTGGACAGCTTAAACTGCAGCCTCTGTGCCTTCTTATGTTACAGCAACATCAATCTTTAATGAATAACACTTGTATGTTTGTGTGTCTCAGGGTGGATCAGATTCTGGGCAAAGGACAGATTCCTGTGGATAAGAAGCCGAGAGACAAACTGCACCCAGACGGAGACTCACTGGACAGCATGAGCATGCTAGGACGTGTGTGCAAAGTGGAAAGACAGGTGCGTTGATGAAAAATCAAAGCAGGGAAAAGATTTCATGCAGAATTATTTTAGAAATTTGTTCCAAAAAAAAAAAAACGTATTTCATGATAGATCTGTAGGAGGTGGTTGAAGATTTTGCAGCGTGAATGTTGAATCTGAATGATTCTGAAATTTGTTGATGAAGTTGAAACTGAGTTGTTACGATAAGAACAGAAGCTCGTGAGAGCAGAACTGAAGCAACAACAAAAAAATAAATGAAAAAAATGGAAAAAAGTTCATGTCGTATGTCACGAGCTGTGTGTATTTCAGTAATTGGTTTTTTTTTGTTTGGGGTTCATTTTCAAGTGTATCTCTTGTGTTTGGTTTCTTTATTTGTACGTGTTCTGTTTCTTTTTTTGTGCCTTCCTGTGTTTTCCTGCCACTCGAGGTACTTGCTGGTAGTCAGCCTTCACTCCTCGATTCAGCCCCACCCACCTCCACCTACACCTGCTCCCTGTTGTTAAAAACTCTTCTCACCAGCTCCAGTCCATTAAGTCTTTTAATTTTCACTTTACCTTGTGGCTTCCATGCCTAGTCTGGTTCTCCTTCATGTCTTCTCTGTGTCTCTATAGTTGCTGCCACGTCAGCTTTTGTTCTTCCCTTTTGTTTTCTTAAGTTTCGTTCTCAGGCTCCTTTGTGTCAGTCACCTAGTCATTCCTGGGTTCAACGCCTAAAAATCTAACGTGTGAAAGCTAAAGATGGTGGTGCAGCGGCTCTTAGATTTCCCATGTTGAGGTTTTATAGTTTGCCTTTACATATATATAATAATATAAAACTATTTTACAGTAGTCCCTCACTACTTCGCAGTTCGACTTTCGCAGACTCGCTCTTTCATGGTTTTTCAAAGTAAGATTAATCATGACAAACAATTGGCTGATTGATGGATGAGCCACATGACAAGCATGGATTGTTTATTTAAAATAAATCAATTTAAATAATTTAACACACCTGTGTGCAGCCCACAGGTGCAGGGAGAAGCTCCCTCATGCAGATTGTCATGATCTCCTCTGCCACGCCCACATTCCTCCTCCATTTTGCTGCAGCATGGACTACTACTACTTACTACTTTTGTAGTACTACTAGCCTTGCTTCGCGGTTTTTCACTTATTGCAGCGGGCCGTGGCCCCTAAACCCTGAGGTAAACAAGGGACTACTGTACTATAAAAAAAAAAAAAAAAAAGCAAAACGGTAGCTAAAAGCTGCAAAAAAAAAGTAGCTAAAGTAGTAGGCTTAAAGTTAAAACTAGTGGGAGACTAGCAAAAAATAGCAAAAGGTTATCTAAAGGCTAGTCTTGAGGCCAAGGCCTCCCTTGCAAAAAAGATCTGTGATCTCAATGGGATTTGCCTGGTTGAATAAAGGTTAATAAATAAAAGTAGCAAAAGGTTAGCTAAAAGTAGAAAAAATGTAGCTAAATGTTATGGTAGCAAAAGGCTTGTGAAAAATAGTGAAATACAAATAAAAGTATCCAAAATTTGCTAAGTAAAAGGTTGCAAAAGGCTAGTTAAAAGCTAAAAGTGGCAAAAGGGCAGCTAATAGCTAATAGTAGCCAAAGAAGGCAAAAATAAGGCAAGTGTGCTGAAGCTGATTTCAAAAGGAACAATGTTCTGAAGGAATTACACAAAACTGCAGTTCCATTAAAAAATACATTTAAAATAAAGTGAAATATTTTGAAAAGTATAAACATACCAAGGACTAAACTAAATAAAACAAAACAACAAAAACTTCTAATAGCTCACATTCCGGATCAACTTGAAGGGAAGTCTTGAGATTGACATAATTGTATGTTTCCATACATACATGGCAAAATTAGTTCTCTGCATTTAACCCATCACACCTGAGATACACCAGGTGGAGCAGTGGGCAGCTATGCAAGCACCCAGGGAGCAATTAGGGATTGGGTGTCTTGCCCAGAGACACCACAACATGTGGGAATGGCTGGTGATCAAACCTGGGGCTTTCTGGTCCCAGGTCAGCTGCCATGCCTCTACCCCATCTCGGCCCCCTACCAGCGAATGTTTTCATTTATGAATGCTAAAATCATGATTGTCAAATAGCACAAAGTGTACTGAGGTAGTTTGATTGCAAAATATGGACAGAAGAAACTAAATTACAGAGAAAATGAAAGTGTAAAAGCTGACTCAAGAATTATTTGAAGTGCTGAGATCATTTGACATGAATTGTCCATAACAGCCCGTTCTTCTTTCTTTGCTCACCCAACGTTTTCTCCTGTGTTCAGGTGACCTCCATTGAGTCCAAGTTGGACACTTTGCTAGATGTTTACCGCCAAGTCCTGAAGAAAGGCCCATCGGCGCTCGCCCTCTCCTCACTGCCACTTTTTGAGCTGGACAACCACCAGCACCACAACTTGGAATACCCCAACTCCCCCCAGGGAAGCGATATGCTCAGAAGTCGAGGAGACAACAGCAGTGGGATTCACCGTTCCCACTGCGCCAACCCAAGAGGCCTGCGGCTCATTTTAGCACCGGCTGATGACGACGGCCCTCCAGACTCAGCACCGCCATCCTACCCTCCATCCACTGCATCCCTCTCCCCTTCTCCCCTGCTGCCCCCAGATAGTCCCTACCCAACCTTAGTCACCCCTTCCAAAAAGGCTAATTTCCCTGATCTGGCTCCTCCGCCACCCTCATCAGGGAGCTTTACCCTTCAGCTCCCTCCCATGATGCACCCCTCTCACCTCCAATGCCCAGCTGACCCTGTCTCAGATGATATGACAGATGGAGTAAGAGGGGATGAGCAGAGTCTGGGCCCGTCTGTCATTGTGGGGTGTGGAGTCGATGATGATCTCGAAGGGGACAGTGAGGCGGGCTCTGCGCAGAGAAGGGCGCAACTGCGGAAGAAGCCTGGCCTGAAATCTGAGGGAGTCTGGAGGAGGCATTTGAGCCTGGAAGTTAACCCCTTGCTGCTTCTCTCATCTAGCCCAGAGGGGACGCCTTCAGACTGGGGAGGCAATCTTGGGAAATCCCTCTCTGTGCATAATCTCAACCAGCCTTTAACCAGTCGTGCGTCTGCTCTTTCCTCTGCATTCAACAACAGCAGCAGCAGCAACGACAGCGACGGACATAGAGACCTCAGCAACTGGGACGGAGCAGACCTCTTCATCAGTGAGTGCAAGCTGAAGCCAGCAGCAGAACACTACAACATCCTGTCCCAGGGACCCGACAGCAGCCACTCTGACATTTTACAGGCCGTGGAGGAGGTGGTACCTCACTCAAAGGGGAACTCAGAGTTCCTCGGTCAGTCCTCACACTTACAGCTGGTGTAAGCACACTCACTGACAAACCCACACAACTTGCAGGCTGCATGTGCACCGCTGCAGCCGACTGCTTTGTCAAAGATCATGCTACGATTTTACTCTTTATACGTGTAAAAAAAAACCTGCTTTCTATTTTTGTTTTACATCATGTCCAGACACAACAGCTCTTTTATGGGACAGCTAAATTTAAACCTTGTGAAAAAAAAAAGAAGAATGTGCAAATTTACATTTGTGTTTGTGTTGTTGAAATTAGGAAAATAGAGTAAAATCAAAAAAGAAAAGGAAGGTTTGATTTGCTCATTGGTTTTATAAACTGCCAAAAAAGAATGATGATTGTCAAAGTATACTTTAATAACAATTTTTTTTAATCATCTTTTCATCACAAGAGCTACTTGGAGTTGTATTAGATCTTAAATAAATCTTAGACTTTTTATATTTCAGTTAAGACATTTACTTCAACCAAAGAACCAAATCTTGACTCATCTGCTGGAATTTTTATTTTATTTTATTTTTTTGTGAAGGGGGGCAATTAGCAGTTTAAGGTACTTTGAATTGTTTTGTTTTGTGAAAAGTTGACAGTAAAAACGGTAAAAAGTTAAAGTAGAAGAACAAACCATACTTGGCCAAAACATGTGAAACTATAGGAAACACTTAAACTTTTATACTAATACAACCCACCACAAAGTACTTGAAAAGCCATCTAAACAAAATGGGACTAACAAATCACTTTTTTATACAACTACTTGTGTCCAGTCTTCTGGCATGACGAGAGGAGTAAATATCTCTGCTTAGTCAGTGCATACTTTTAGAAATTATTTTTTTTTAATGTGGTTTTCATTCATATCACTGCATGGAATGTTTCCAAAACTAAATGTTTTACAAACTGTGTAGAGATGGGAAAAGCTGAACTATACATAAAATTATAACGAGCCACCAAATCAGGAACCAAAAGTATGTATTCATATCATAAACCTGTCATTTATGTGATTTTCCACGTTTGTAAAACTATGTGGTTTCTTGGTTTAAACTCTATGTAAATTGTGTTAAGAAAACTTACAGAGATCCACTTGTAACCTTTGCGTATCAGTATTCAGTTCTGTTAGACTGCTTCCTGCTGGGTTTGCACAATAGTCTGATACAATAATTGCAAATGGTCTGAATGAAAGTTAATTATTCAAGTGAGTCTTCTTTAGTGAGCATGAGATGCTGCATGTTAAAGCTGCTGCAACCTTTGAAATCAGAAGTGACGACTCAGCTGCTGCAGCCCAGATCTCTTTCTGCACGGTAAAATGTTTCCCATAAGCCAAAAGGTGCAAACAAAATCTTCAAGTATGAACAAGAACAGTATTTTAGTTTGATAATGAGAACATAATATTTTATTTTTCTATTTTACTGGGTGCTTTTCCACACCTTGTGCACCAATAAGTCTGCTGGACCGGCCTAAATCCCAGTTTCAACTCTAACTTGAAACATTTTATTGGGGAGGATAAGTTGCTCTTAATTTGTCTTTTTTATATTCACATATTAAAATATGGGAGAGAGTAATTGTAAGATCTGTGATGCTGTTTTCAGTGGCTGGTGCATTTTCAGCATTTAGCAGCCACCATTTCATTTTGATCATGACTACATGTTTAATCTGGGATTATTACACTAAAATTGAATGCATTTAATTCAATTTCCAGCAGAAATTGTGTTTTAATTGGCAAACTTGGCAGAAAAACTTCAGTTTGTCTTCAATAATACTGTTTTAATTTTGTTCCTATTCGTAGAAAATTTGATCATTTTAAAAATTATTGTGCCTAAAACATTCATAATTTTATTTTGTGATATATTCATGTTGTCATTTAGATTCAGTTTTACAAAGTCACAGCAGTCTTAAAAATATTTTGCTCTATTAATTATGGCATTATTTCTTTTTTTTTTTTTTTAAGATATATGACCTGAAAAGAAAGCGCATTGGTTAGAAAATTAAAATTTTACTGTAAAACAAGAATTATTTTCTAAAAATGGCAATATTTAAGCCCATGCATGGAGGACATACTTTGGTATGGTGAATTTTATTTTCATCACAAAAGCACAGTTGTTTCCAGTGAGTGGTGCCTGTATATATGAAATAACGGGCTTATATTTGTATAACATTGGATCAGATTTGTTGTAGGTATTGACTGAGTTTTAATGCATTATGAATAACTTTAAAAGCCCATTGATTTTCTGCTATTTGTGGTATTAAATGGGTTATTCTCTCCATAAAATTAATAATTTCGAGCTGTGTATCACTTGAGGGTGCCTTTTGCATATGAAAACTATTTTTATTTTTATCCTCACCTTGCTTTAAAGGCCTAGTTTGCATACAGCCCATAATATATTGTAATGAAGTGAACCAGATGGGGCAAACAGATCCATGAAGTCGTGCAGCTGTAGACACAGACTTTGACGGCTAGACACACCATTTCTCTACATGCTTGAACAGTAATTTATTACATGGCTGGCCTTAAAGCTTGATAATGTTAGCATTAGTATTTCTTTGAAATTAATTTATTGAAGTGCACATTATCTTCTCTGTATGAGAAATGCAAAAATGATTTCAATTTTCATTAATAAAGTACGGATTAACAAAAGAGTTTGGTTTCTGTGCTTTTCTTGGTTTGGTTGGAAGGAGAAACCAGTAGGGTCATCTGAGGAACTGAAGGTTTGAATGTTAGTGCATGAAATATATGGATTTTTAAACAAAAGTTGTGTACAAAACATGTAATATACTCCAGTACTGTGCAAAAAAAATAAAATAAAATTCAAGACCTTCAAAACCCCTGGAAGCCTGGAGGATGAATGAAAGCAAAACATAATGAAATTAGGGGTGGTTTAAAACATTAAAAAAAAATACTAAACATGATTTTATAGATGTACAAAACAATATAAAAAATAATCCGGTTCAAATATATTTCTTACCGGAAGTTGGACCGTTCAAACAGGAAGTGGAGCCAACGTCAAATTCTGGTTACGTTAAGCTATTTGCCAAAATAAATTAAAAAAAATGTCTGACTGGGAGGATGATTACGACAAGCATGGTGTTGCTCTCAAGAAAACGCCTTCCCCGAAATCAGCAACAGCTCACTATAAATTACCTGAGAATGTTGGTCAAAGAGGCGGAAACGTGTGTTTTGGTGGAAGACGATCATCCAGAGAGCCGAGGGGTGGCGGCAGCGGCGCGGAGTTCAGGAGTCACGGAGGTCCCAGAGATGGGGGAGATAAACCGAGTGAGAGCGAAAACTCCCACTCTTCTAAGGCTGTAGTTATCACAGTGGAAAATGCTTCAGTTGGAAGAGTTATAGGTATGTTTTGTATGCTGAAACCTGAATTAAATTTGTAAAGAAACTTTACATGTACTGTTAGCAAGTCTTGGCTAGCTAACGCTAATTCAGCTTAGCTTGTGTAGAGGTTTATGCGTCAGCCTCTGCAGGTTTGTAAAAAGCTGCTCTGTCTCTGAAAATACATATTTACATATTGTGTATCTAATAGTTAGGCCATTAAAAAAAACTATTTCATTTTTTTTATATATAGGTCGAGGGGGTGCCAAAATCCGTGAACTTGAGGAGAGCAGTGGTGCAAGAATCAAGGCAAGTTACTGAACGTCAAAATGTGTGAAAAGTTACAAAAGCATCCTAAATCTTCACTCTGGGCTGTGTATTAATGTGTTTAAAGATAAACAAAGGGGATTATGAAGGAGAGGTGGTCATCTTTGGATCCTCCGCTGCACAACAAAAAGCCAAAGAGATGATTGAAGACCTGGTGGCTGGTGGTGCTTGGCTTAGCAGTGGTATGATTAATAAGGACTTTAGTTGCTTTATGCTCTTAATTACCATCTTTTAATTAAAAATGTATAAACGTGCTATAAAAATGTCTTAATTGTTTCAAAACTCTTAATATTTATGATACATACCATACCATTTTATTTATAGAGCACTTAAAACAGCTACAAGGACAACCAAAGTGCTGTACAGACAGAACATCAGACAACACACGAAGCAAAATACAAAATGAAGTAAATCAAAAATATAGACATAAAAACGATGCAGATAATAAATATGACGACAAACCAGTGTGGAGTGTACAGGCTCAAAACACAGATCATCTGGTGTTGAAAGCTATTGAATAGTAGTGAGTTTTTAAACGGGATTTGAAAACCGAGAGGGAGGGGGCCAGTCTGACAAGCAGAGGTAACTCGTTCCAAAGTCTTGGTCCTGCACACAAGGCCCAGTCATTCTTTACATGTGCAAGATGTGAAATGTACATCAGACAATAGGTAGTTGCGATAAGATTCAACTTTTGACAGGTCTACCATTAATATATTAAGTTAGTGCCACACAGTGTTACTTTTGACTAGTTTCCAGTCAGAGGTGTACAAATTAAGTAAAGATTCTACTTAATTTTCTACAAATCCACAGGGCCAAAACAGCTTCTCCATTTTAAGAAGTTCCTCAAACAAAATGTTGTATTTTTTATGGTCATTTGTTTTCTTGTACAGTATATTTAGAAGCGCAAATTAACTAAACACAAGTAGCCGTCAGTAAATTAATGCTTTAATATTCTATAGCTGTCTGTAACAGAAAGTAAACGCAGGCACTCTACTTACAGTCAGTCACACCTTTAACCAGAAACAGTGACTGTTTCTAGAGAACTAAGTTATACACTACTCATTTATTCATTCAACCTTTATTTATAAAAAGCAGTCTCAGAGCCATGAGAACTCATTTACAAGAGAGACCTGTTTTTTTTGGAGCAGATAGTGGGGGGTTAAGGATCTTGCTCAGGGGCCCAGCGTGGGGCAAATGAAGGTGGAGGCAGGTGTGGGTATTACACCTTTTCCACCCACATTTTTTGAAGTTGACAGTACCGGGAGTTGAACTTGCCACTTTCCGATCACAGGCCCTCTCCAACCTCTGCGCCACCACTCCCCACATTTATACACATTACTTGTTTTACAACTGATCTCTCAGTCAGACCTAACAGGATATTATAGAGTTCAAACAAAGCCAAGCGGAATTACAACCTCTTCACTGTTTGGCCTCATTTTCACTATAGAAAATGTGAGTTGTGCATGAAGTTCATATTACCTTGAAGTATCATTTAACAGAAGAAACACTGGAGTCTATTAATTTACAGATTTTCATGTGATAGCGTTTATAAAGCAAAACACCATCAACATATTCAGTGATATCATAAACGTGTATTAAGAACTTAGAAACAAAAAAAGTTAAAGTATCTGACCTTTTTAGAATTTTGACTCTTGATATAAAGGTTGAAATAAAAAAATAAAAATTCAAATAAATAAATCTTGTACTTATTTCAGTTAATATCCTGATGCATGCTCAATAATCCAGGTAGAAAAATCCAAAAAAGTTCAATCTGGTCCTTTTTTTGAATGTCCAGAGGACCAGATTGAACCTTTTTTGGTTATTTCAGTTAAATAAATTTGCATATCAAGAGTCCAGAGCAAATGGAAATATTTATTTATACGATACGGTATGTATGGATATACTTTAAATTAGCTGATATGCAGGTTTCCAAATAAAGGCAGTAAAATGAGCTTAAGGGTGCATTCACACTAGCCCTGTTTAGTTCGCTTTAATCGAACTCTAGCTTGTTTTCCTAGAAAGTCCGGTTCGTTTAGGGAGGTGTGAACGCACCATCGATCTCTGTCACGGATCAAAAAGGCGAACTCTGGCCCGGGCTAAAACCTAGGTCTCGGTCCGGTAGAAGCAAACTCCAGCGAGGTTCGAGTACAGTGTGAATGTAAACAGACCGAGCCCCGCTCCGCAGGGTAAACAAACACGCATTGCTCTTACCTTATATGGAGCAGTCAGCTGCCTTGTGTGGAAAAACAATATTCTCCATGGTTTTCTGTCTCATCTTCTGCTCATGCTAAGTCCATTTTTGAAAAATGACAAAATATAACTCCTAAAACTGCTAAAACTTGATGCCACTTCGTTTTTATTTTTATTTACAGAAGAAGAAGAAGAAGACGCGTCTTCAGAGGTTTTTGTGTCGTTTCTTTCAGTAGTTCTTGGTGCAGCGCCCCCACAGGCGAGCGGGGGAATAGGTTGGTTCAACAGGTTGACTCGACTGCACAGTGCAGTGTGAATGCAAACGCACCAGCTCAAATGTAAACAAAAGGTCATGAATATTGGTCCCGAACCGAGTCTACCGGACTATATGGTGTGAAAACGACCTAAATAGCCAAAGGTCCCTGGAGTTTGTCAAAATATAGTTTTTTGTTTTTGCTATCTGTCTCAGTATATTTTTTATCAGAGTCAGAGTTTCTTTATTGTCATTCGCACCTCATGTGGTACATGTGGTGGAGCAAAATTATGTACACAGGGTCCCAGTTACATCCAACAATAAAATGTATAAGAAAAACAGTAATAACATCTAAGATATGAACTAAGAAAAACATCAACTAAATATACACTAAGCACTCATAACATAAAAACATTGAACATAGCACAAACATGAACATGAGTCTGTGTGAGCAGATGAGCACGCATGAACACATCAACATTGAAACAGATCAGCAGCAACATGAAACAGATCAGCAGCAACATGATATGGTTTTTCACAGTGATTATTCTAGTTAGAGATTCATGAGTCTAACAGCCTCAGGGTAGAAGCTGTTCCTCAGTCTAGTGGTTCTACACTTAATGCTCCTTAACCTCCTTCCTGAGGGGAGTGGGGCAAAAAGTGTGTGTGCTGGGTGAGTGAGGTCCTTCATGATGCAGGTAGCCCTCTTCCTGCATCTGGAGGTGTAGATGTCTGTGATGGTGGGGAGGCTGATTCCGACAGACTTCTGTGCAGCCTTCACCACTCTCTGCAAAGCTTTTCTTTCTGCAGCTGTGCAGCCTCCATGCCACACATTGATGCTGGAGCACAGGATGCTCTCCACTGCACACCTGTAGAAGGAGGTGAGGACTGAGCTTCCCAGACCAGCTCACCTCAGCCGTCTGAGGAAGTAGAGTCTCTGATGAGCTTTCTTGATCAGGCTGGTGGTGTTGTTGCTCCAGCTGAGGTTGTCATTCATGTGTACACCCAAGTACTTGTAGCTGGAGACCACTTCCACCGCAGATCCTCTTATGTTCAGGGGGGTGTGGGTGTGTTTGTTCCTTCTGAAGTTCACAATCATCTCCTTTGACTTCTTCACATTGATGTGAAGGTTATTCTCTCTGCACCAGCTCTCCAGGTGTTCCACCTCTTGCCTGTAGCTGGACTCATCATTGTTTGTGATGAGTCCCACCACCGCTGTATCATCTGCAAAATTTACAATGTGACAGCCTGGATGGGTAGCTGCACAATCATACATGAGCAGAGTAAACAGGAGGGGGCTCAACACACATCCCTGAGGAGAGCCAGTGCTGAGGGTTATGGTGGAGGAGGAGAAGTTGTGGATCCTCACTAACTGTGGTCTGTTTAAGAAGTCTAGTACCCAGTTGCAAATGGAGGGGCTTAGTCCTAGTGTGGATAGTTTGTCCATCAGGGTTTGGGGGATCATGGTGTTGAAGGCGGATGTGAAGTCCACAAAGAGCATACGGATGTAAGAGTTTTTCTGCTCCAGGTGGTTGAGTGCAGTGTGGACCACAGAGGAGATGACATCCTCTGTTGATCGGTTCTCACGGTATGCATACTGATGAGGGTCCTCGTTGATGTTGATGGTTGTTTTGATGCGAGTCATGACCAGTTTTTCGAAGCATTTAGCGACTATCGGGGTGAGGGCCACTGGCCGATAGACATTCAGACCAGTCACTGTAGAGCTTTTTGGGACTGGGATGATGGTGGCAGTCTTCAGGCAGGTGGGAACTGTCTCCAGGGTAAGTGAGGTGTTAAAGATGTCTGCCAGCACCTCTCAGAGCTGATCAGCACATTTCTTCAACACTTTTCTGGGGATGTTGTCTGGGCCAGTTGCTTTGTGCGGATTAATCCTCATTATGAGTTTAGACCTGAAAAATATGTGCTTTATAGTTTCGGTTAGTGTTTTTTCTGTAGTTGCTCTTACTTGTTCAACTGAGTTAATATTAAAATGAGCAAATATATTTCACTTGATACAATTTACACTCAATTTCATTTATCCATCTTTTATTTTTTGCCTCTTGTCTGTGGTCAAATCGAGGAAGCAACAGGTCCATGATGAGAGTTCAGACATACCTCCCCCAGCAAGACTTTCCAGCTCCTTTTGGGGATCCCAAGGTGTTCCCAGGCCAGAGAAGTTGCATAATCCCTTCAAGCTCTAGCTTTGCTTTTGGAGTTTCCTTCTTTTGAGATGTGCCTGGAAAAACCTCCTGGGGGAGCTTGTAGTTGGGATTATGTTCTTTTGGTCATGATCAATATCTCATAACCATAGGTGAGGGTTGGAATATAGGTGGACTGTAAATAGAAAGCTTTGTCTTTCGACACAACTCTTTCTACACTACCACAAACTGAAGCAAAGCATTTAATACTGCAGACGAGGCCCATCTTCCGCTTCATCCTCCCATCAATTGTCAACAAGACTTTGAAATACTTAAACTCGTCCCCAACCCGAAAGGTTCATTCTACCTTTTCATGTTTGAGGACCATGGTCTTTGACTTGGAGGTCATGGCAGTGTTATTTAAAATATATTCAAAGTAGAAAAAGTATCTCAAAGTAGAATGTTTAATGTCATCTTGATTTTAAACTTTAATTTCTGTTCCAAATATTTTATTATGAGTTCAGAGTTCATGGATATTCTTGGGTATTCTTATGCACTGTTGTTTCTAGTTAAAACTGATGTTTTTATGTGTACTGATGTGTTTCTGAGGTCCAGGTCAAGGACAGTATGGTGATCGGTCCAGAAGCAGAGCAGACCAAGGAGCAAGCAAATCTTCTGTTTGGTCTAATGCAGAGCTAGAGGCTTCAAAAGCTACTCCAGCCCGTCCATCCATCGACTGGAACGCCATCCGGGAGAACAGAAAAATGTATGAAGAGCTCAAATGGAAAGGTAAAAGTGCTGATTTTCTAATATTTGAACAGTGATGTGACTTGCAGGTGAATTAATATAACATAGCTGATAGTAATTTAACAAACCGAGGTAATTCTGATTCATTTTATGTTTTTTTTTTTTTCTTTTTTTTCTTTTTCAATAGAGTATTACAGTTAGAGTTTACATTACCCCTGCTTCCTTGTGGTGCAATACCAGTATTTTATTTATATGAGCATCTCATTCATTACATGAACCTTGCTCTTACACTATGTTTGCAACCTTTTTCAGACCTTCCACCAATAAAGAAGAACTTTTACAGTGAGGCAGCAAGTGTGTCCATGCTTACACCTGAGGAAGTCGGTGCATGGAGGTAAGTTTATCACTTGTCTGTGAGATAAACGTGCTTTGTTTTTCCTTTAACTGCATACAGAGCGCAAGTGAGCTTGCTGTGGCAACCCCTGAAGAAGGGAGCAAGCTAAAAAAAAAAATCACATACAAAGAAAAATAATGTTTGAGCATCAGTCTTATACCACTTCAATAACTTTAGGGACTTTTCCTTCAGTTAGCATTATTTCTCATACTTAAAACAATGTTCTACTCTCCAAACATTGTAAAGTATAGGGATAAAACATCTATTTTAAAATATTTACTCAGTGCCATGAATTATTAGCTTCTTTTTTTTTCAGACAGTGAAAAGCTAAGTAGGGATTGTTGACACCTGAATCCAGGGGCGGGCTGGGGTTGAATATCAGCCCGGGAGCTTGCTTTGGAGAGGTCTTTTATCGGATCGCACGACGGATGCACGTGAAACCACAATTTTAACACAAATACTGTATTTGCAGCATAAAAACACAGTTTTTTTTCAACAATCAAAACTACTGTTTATGTTTGTATGTATTCAGTGATACAAATAAAAATACAAATCAGTTTATAAAAGTTGATTAAACAAGCAGCTTATCATAAAACAAAAATCAAATATTAAGGAACAAAAACAACCTCCAATTATATCTAGACCCATAACATCATAACGTCTCCCCCAAACAAAAGAAAACTGTCATAACTTACATCGTTAACAAGTGCTTGAGCAGAACACTGGTCTCTGCAACTCTGTCTGTAACTGCATCATTGTCGAATGTCATTAGGGCCTCTTTTTCTGTTAACATTAGCATAAACGCCTCAAGATGGTCCTGTGTCAGTGCGGTCCTCAGTCTGTTCTTCACTGTTTAGAGAAAGTCCTCTCACAGGCCACCTGACTAAAACATAGCATCAGCAGGAACTTATAGCATAGTCCAATGACATGGTAGGCATTAGTCATATTTGGAGACTGTGATAAACACGAATTGCAGTTTTTACTGGAGATGCAACTGGTGTTTTTTGACTCCTATGTTTTCCCCATTTTCTGTCTCTTCTGGGACAAAAAAATTCAATATGCAAAATTATTAAAATCAGTCTACATATCACTGCAATTTATTTTTCTTGAGCTGGTAAAAATAGCTCTATATTAATGTAGAAACAGAACAGGAAAAGGAACGCTTTCCTGAAATCCATTTTCTTTTGCAATAAAGAAACGTGCCTTTTTCTGGTCAGTCAATGTGGATTGATTTTAATTTTCGTTGATAAAGCAGATTAAAGATTTATGTATTTATGGTGTAACAATTCCTTTAATGTTCTGTGAGTCCTGAACACATCCAGAAACCCTAACACACTATTTGCCAACTCTGGGATGGATGATGTTTCCATGTAGGCACTACTTGTTAACCTGCTGTCTCCATGCTGTTCGGTCCTGTTATCACTGTCCTGACTCACTTTAATCACGTGACTTTGACACCCCCACCCCCAAGAAAACGTCTGCTATTTTAACACATTTGGCTGCATCTTGCACTAACTTTTTCTTTTCCTTAGTTTTTCTGCTCCACCCATCTCTTTCTCCTTTCTTTTTAGCATGTTTGCCACCCGCTCTTCTTTCTTTCTTTCTTTTTTTTCAAATTGGGAGGGGCTGCTCGCATGTGACGTTTGACTGACACCTGGGGCCAGAGGGCTCATGCTGCCACATTTTAAAAGGGAAAAACAAAGCTAAAAACGTACCGATCACCACCGGCCGGTTTGGCCTGGAACTGACCGGCTGTGCAGGAATCCTCCTGAACCTCTCTATGGCCAGCCCGCCCCTTCCTGAATCCCAAGGCAGTGTCTAAAACTGTCTAAAGGTACTGTCTGGCTTTTAAATGGGATCCCACCAACAAAGATACTATGAATTGGTAGAAGTGTTGTAATGGATGCTGTTTCTGTAACATTGTCAGTAATAAGATACTCAAATAGTTGTCAGCAAAGCAAGACAGACAGAGAAAGCCACTCAGAAGAGCAGAGGTCTCAGTGTTTGGACCGTCCATATTCTGGCTAAAACCTCCAGAAGGTCCATGACTGACAACACCAAGTCCTTCTTGCACTGTATCAGTTGCCTCTGTTCAAAGCATAGAAACCAGCTTCAATATTCAATATGTTGTTTGTCCACTGAGTGAAGAAGTGATCAGTGAAGCATAAACTGTTTACAGCAGTCTGATCGTGTTTTTTATTTATTTAATTATTTTGTTTGTATTTTTCCACAGGAAGGAGAATAACGATATCTTTGTGGATGACTTGAAGGAGGGGGAAGAGAAACGGCCTATTCCCAATCCTTGCCGCACATTTCTGGAGGCTTTTGAGATGTATCCAGAGATCATGGATAATATTGAACGTGTTGGTTTTGTCAAACCAACCCCCATTCAGGTTTGATCTTGTTTATCCATCTCTTTTCTTTACCTGTTAGATTTTTTTTCTGGGTTACAGGGACCTGGTTCAACATAAGCGGTTTCCATTGGTCCGAGACAACTTACTTTCGTCTCGGACAAACGGAAACCGCTTACGTCAACCCACGGACTATATATTCAGACAATCAATCAACCTTTATTTATACAGGTAAATCCCATTGAGCCTCGAGGACTCATTTACAAGAGAGACCTGATTTCAACAAAGAAAGATGACAACAATGGACAACAGCAACAACAATAAGCAGTTATAAAAACTCATACTACAGTTTTTTTTTTTTTTTTTTTTTTTTTTTTAACAAATAGGATGGCTAAAAGGAAAAAGGTAACAAAACAAAAAAAAACAGCTAGATTCCAAGACAAATGTATAAAACTAAAAACAGGAACATGTCTGCATTGGTCCCTGCCAGGAGTCCAACAGATTCTTAAAGCCACTTAGAGAGGTCAAGGTCGAGAGCTTCAAATCTTTTTGTAAGATATTCCAGGAGACAGGAGCGGAGTAGGAGAAGGCCCTTTTGCCTAGTTCAGTCCTCACTGAGGGAACACTGCAGGTAATAATGTCCTGAGAGCGCACTCCGTAGCTGCACTCACGCAGAGACATGTAGGAGGAGATGTATGAAGGCAACAGACCAAGAAGTGATTTAAAGATGAAAATGTACCAGTGAGAGAGTCTGCGTGAAGTTAATGATGTCCAGTTAACCAATGAATACAGGGTGCAGTGGTGGGTACGATAATCACAGCCAGTTATGAATCTTAGTGCACCATGATAGACAGCATCCAACATCTGCAGGGTTCTTGTAGGAGCGTTCATGTAAATAATATCACCAAAATCAATTGAGGGAAGGAAAGTCACAGATACAAGGCGTTTTCTAGCATTCAGGGTTAGACAGGATCTGTTTCTGAAAAAGAAACCCAGTTTAACTTTCAGTTTCTTTACCAAGTTTTCCACATGGAGCTTAAAAGAAAGATGTGAGTCGACCAAGATACCCAAATATTTATAGGAATCAACAAACTCAATGGGGACACCATTTGAGGATAAAATCAGAGGAAGAACTGCTGGGACCAACTTCCTATTTGAAAAAAGCATCCCTTTGGTTTTTTCGGCATTTAGGACAAGTTTGAGGTGAAACAAATCAGTCTGGATGTAGTTAAATGCAGATTTCAGAAGCTGGAAAGCCTTAGCAACTGTTTTAGCTCGACAATAAACAACTGTGTCGTCAGCATAGAAATGTATGGATGCATTAGGGATGTTTTTACCTACATTATGTATGTAGATTGTAAAGAGGGTGGGTCCTAAGACTGAGCCTTGTGGTACACCATTGTTGACTGTTAAATAACTGGAGGAAGTACCATTATGTTGAACACATTGCCTCCGGTCTGAAAGATAGTTAGAGAACCAACCAATGGTGTGATCTGAGAAACCGATTTCTGAGAGTTTATGACACAAGATGTTCTGATCCACAGTGTCAAAAGCTTTAGACAGGTCTAAGAAAAGTGCAGCACAATAATCTTTAGCATCCAGTGCTTCAACAACATCATTAAGAACCTTCAGTGAAGCAGTGGTTGTGCTGTGTTGTTTCCTGAAACCAGATTGATGTGGAGGTAAGATGTTAAATGAGTCCAGGTAATTTTTGATTTGAGAGTTTATCAGTTTTTCTAGAACCTTGGCTAAAATGCAGAGTTTAGAGATTGGTCGATAGTTGTTCAGTGATGTGGGGTCACCTCCCTTCAGCAAAGGAAGAACAAAGGCTGTTTTCCAAGTGTCTGGGATGGAGTTTTGTCTTATGGAGAGATTGAAGATGTGGGTCACAGGGACTGTGATGATATGAGCGGCCAGCCTTAAGAAATAAGGTGGAAGTTCATCTGGACCTGCAGATTTTTTAGGATCAAGATCTATTAACAGTTTATTGACCTCACTGACTGAGAATGGAGAAAAAGAGAAGGTGTGATTAACTGAGGATTGACTTGTATGAGGGATTTGATTTGTAGAAGTTTGGTTATTAAGTGAAGTGGCTGATTTTCCATTAGTTACTGTGTCAAATAAAGAACCAGAAGCAACAAAATGTTTGTTGAAACAGTTCAGGATCTCGTGCTTATTTGACACAGGAGCAGAGTTAACGAGAAGTTGTGATGGGAGGTCAGATGATTGGGGGGTGCCTGAGAGAGATTTAATTGTTTTCCAGAATCTGTTAGGGTCATTTAGATTTTTGGAAGTCTGAGATAAGAAATAGTTGCGTTTTGCTGCTTTGACAGAAGTTGTACATTTATTCCTCATCTGTCGGAAACTCAACCAGTCAGTGTCTGAGCTAGATTTTCTCGCTGCAGCCCAAAGATGATCTCTCCTGTGCATGAGGTCAGCTAGCTCTGGAGTAAACCAGGGGCTGTCTCGTCCCTTTATTCTGAACTGACGAAAAGGAGCATGTAAGTTCAGGAAATAAATGAAATTATTATGGAAATAGTTCCAAGCAGAGTTCACATCATCAGTTAACAGAATACGATGCCAGTCAAAGTGAGACAGATCCCAGAGGAATGACTGTTCACAGAAATGTTTCAGATCCCTTTTTTTAATTAATCTGGGCTTAGAAGGTGGAAGTTTACTATTTCTTAAAGCCGCTGTCACACAATGATCACTCAAGAGATCAGCGAATACACCTGTACCAGGGAATTTGTGAGGCATATTAGTTAGAAACAGGTCTAAGATGGAGGAATTGTCAGGATGGCTTTTATTTAATCTGGTGGGGGAGTCGATCAGTTGGGTTAAATTAAAAGACAAGCAACATTCCTTGAATTTGTCACAGAGGGGGGTCGACTTACACCAATCAATGTTGAGATCTCCAGCTAAAAAGACCTCTGTGAATTTTAAATTACCAAGGAATTCCTTCATGGCATTTAATGCTTCAGGTGAAGCTGTGGGGGGGCGGTAGCAGCAGACTACAGTTAAAACCTGGCCTCCATTCAAGGTGATGTTTACAGATAAGGCTTCAAACTGGTTTGGAATTGTTTTGAAAGTCACAAGACTTGAAACCAGAGAATCTCTAATGTAAATAATGACTCCACCCCCCCTTTTTTGACGATCACAGCGGTAGATGTTAAATCCATTGATTGCCACGTCATTATTCATTACAGATTTGTTGAGCCAGGACTCAGAAATAAAGATAACATCTGCCCCAGAAGAACTGACCAGGATTTTCACAGCATCAAGTTTTTTCAGAAGGCTACGAGCGTTTACATGCAGAAAATGGAGCCCAGAGGCGTTTTTAAAGTCATTTGGTGTGCTGTAATTAGTGGGGGGTCCAGGGTTGGGTTGAATTCCTGAGAGCAGTAACAACATTATTATCAGACATTTTCTTGAGTTTTTTGTGACTGATGTGTAATTACAGGAGTTAACAGTGTGACAATTAGCCCCCATAATCGAACCATGAGAAACATTAATGAAGACGTGATCATTCAGAACCCAAAAACAGTGAAAGTTGCAGTGATGGACAGATTCAGGTGTATTAACAAGATTCAGTGACTCCAGATAATCTGAGAACTGAAAATAGTGACAGTAATATGAATGATGCAGAAAAGATTCAGACCATAAAATGTCACAGTTCAAATGGGCAAACAAACCCGACGAGGTGGCCCAACTGCAGTTTGAGTCAGGCTGAGGGGGGCTCCGGCCCCCCTGTGAAGAAGGATGGATGGATGCTCCCATGAGAAACAGAAGCTGGGTCCAGAATCAACAGGCCGAAACAGAAACAGAAAATTTGCAGCAAATAGCAGAGCGAGCTGCCAGAAAATCCTCCTGAAGTGAAAGGCATGATCCAAGTTCGTTTCAGGTCAACAGGGGCCAACAACGTGATCCGGAATAAAATTAATTATTATCCAGGTGAGTTTGCTGGGAGTTGAACCCGTGACCCTCTTACCTGCGAAGCAACTGTGCTAACCAACTGCTTTTGTATCAATAGAGTCCCACTATCGTCAAACACAGGAGGTCTTTAATATGAAAGCTGGGAAGTACCTCTTATTTGTATTATTAAATGCTGCAAGCTGTAATGACAGATAAACATGTCTCTTTTGTAAAAAGCTGTCAAAGCTGATCAGAATTAAGTTTGAAAATGTCCTATTAAAAGCACTGTTAGGATTTATTCAAAATTATTTTTATAAATCAAGTCTTGGATACATCTATATAACTGATGTCTTTCAGTGTATGAGGAGGCTTAACATTTCTACTTAAATGTTTTTTATACCTACTTTTGGATTCAGACAACTTCCATCCATCCATCCATTCTCTTCCGCTTATCCGGGGTCGGGTCGCGGGGGTAGCAGCCTAAGTAGGGAGGCCCAGACTTCCGTCTCCCCAGCCACTTGGGCCAGCTCTTCCGGGGGAATCCCGAGGCGTTCCCAGGCCAGCCGAGAAACATAGTCCCTCCAGCGTGTCCTGGGTCTTCCTCTGGGCCTCCTTCCGGTGTGACGTGTCCGGAACACCTCACCAGGGAGGCGTCCAGAAGGCATCCTAAACAGATGCCCAAGCCACCTCAACTGGCTCCTCTCGACGTGGAGAAGCAGCGGCACTACTCTGAGTCCCTCCCGGATGATCGAGCTTCTCACCCTGTCTCTAAGGGAGAGCCCAGACACCCTGCGGAGAAAACTCATTTCGGCCGCTTGTATCCGAGATCTCATTCTTTCGGTCACAACCCAAAGCTCATGACCATAGATGAGGATGGGAACGTAGATCGATGGGTAAATTGAGAGCTTCGCCTTTTGACTCAGCTCTCTCTTCACCACGACAGACCTGTACAGCGCCCGCTTCACTGCAGACGCTGCACCTATCCGCCTATCGATCTCGCGCTCCATTTTTCCCTCATTCGTGAACAAGACCCCAAGATACTTGAACTCCTCCACTTGGGGTAGGACCTCCTCCCTGACCCGGAGAGGGCACTCTACCCTTTTCCGGCTCAAGACCATGGCCTTGGATTT